GGTGGTTAGTTTTTTTTTAACCGCCATCCAAACAAAGACCCTCACTCTTTCTGGGACGTGTAGTTTCCAAATGCTTTTCCAGAAGGTAGCCGAAGCTGAAGCGACCAGAGGTGGGGAGAGAGCTTGGTAGGCTGTTCTTGTCGTGAAGGAGCCATTTGTTGTAAGGTTCCACCGCAGCTTATCTTCCTCCCTTGTCATTGGATCAAAGTGGAAGGCCTGGATCGCTTTCAAAGTTTCAGCTCCAAGGTAATCGGCCAACTCATCAATTTTCCAGCCATGATCCTCGTGCCAGTAATGGGCCACCCGACGTTGGAGGAACTCGTCCGGGATCGTTTGTGTTGCCACCGAAACCAAGGGAACCTACATCAACCACACATCAGTGCAGAATTTAGTTTTCTTCCCATTTTTAATATTATAAGCGCAACCTTTGCGTAGCAAATCAGTCGAGTGACTAAAGCTACGCCAGGTAAAGGAACTTCCCTTTGTGTTTTTGAGAATATCTAAACCCTCCCTTGATTGACCATATTTCCCTTTCATGATCCGCACCCAGAGAGCCTGATCGTTGGTCGCCAGCTTCCAAGCTCCTTTTGCCACCATAGCTTGATTAGCCAGTCTAGTGGGTCGTATACCAGCTCCTCCTTGGCTTCGTGGCACCACCATTTGGTCCCAGGCGATGGGGTGGAAACCGGACTTCCCTTCTTCATCCCCCCAGATGAATTGCCTGTTGATCCTGTCAAGAGAGGAACACACAGATGCAGGAAGTTGCTCGGTAAACATAGGGTAAACCGACATGGAGGAGGATATAGAATGCACCAAGGTCATTCGAGCCGCGATGGAAAGGTGTCGAGTTTTCCAATTAGCCAGGCGCTTCTGAATTCTAACTGTGAGGTCCTTGTATCTAGCTTTGGAGACCCTTCCGTTGATTGTATGAATCCCTAAGTATTTTCCCAGGTCTGTCGTGGTAGGGATGCCAGCTCGATTTTCCAGCCTTTGTCTCCTGTCCCGGGACACATTAAGAGATATCATCATCGCGGACTTACTTAGATTGACTTTTTGGCCTGAGCTAGAACAAAAATCGTCTAAGCATTTCCGAATAATGTCAATTTGACGACCTTCAGCTTCTGCAAACAAAACCAAATCATCAGCAAAAAACAAGTGTGAAATTTTAGAACCATTTTTTGATAGCTGGAGGGGTTTCCACAGTTTCTCGGTTACTGCCTGCTGAATCCTGTGAGAAAGCCGTTCCATATAGAGAACAAAAAGATAAGGTGAGAGAGGGTCCCCCTGACGGACCCCTCTAGTGGGAATAATTTGCTCGGTCAGATCCCCATTCCAGTTAATTCGCATCTTGTTCCTTTCCACACAGAACATGATCCGGCTAATCCAGGTGCTGGGGAGCCCAAGTTGCGCTAAGGTGTCTCTGATGAAATCCCATCTGAGCCTGTCATAGGCTTTTTTCCAAGTCAATTTTGATCACCAGCCCTCCTCTCCCCCCCTTCTTCTTCCTAAAAGAGTGGATGACTTCCTGCAGAATCAGGATGTTATCCGTAGTTTGGCGGCCGGGGATGAAACTACTTTGGGTTGGAGCAATCCAATTACTGTAATTATGTTTAGGTTAGTTTGTCCTTTTAATTAATAAAATATGACTCTATTAAAAACAAAAAACATTGTTAATTATACTGACAAAAAACAGATGCCACAGAATTGCTTTTCAAACCTACGATTACTGTTATTATGTTTAGGTTAGGAAAGATTGTTTTGTGACATATTAATGACTGAGTGTTATTAACGAGGTTTATGAAAAGTATACATAATCATCTAATTAATTATTAATTTATTCCTCAAATTTGCTTTTATGTATTGATTTATTTCTTAGAGTGATGAAATGTTAATCAAAATTTTCATTTAGAGATTAGAAGTTCAAAGTTTGAAACCAATAGCTACATAATTTCTTTCCTAGGTTATTTTTTGGACAACATTGAAACAATTATTAAGTTATTATAACTTACACCTAGATTTATGATGTATAGTTTTCATTTATCATAGAGACTACTACATTTTTTTTTTACTTTCAATTTGCTTGGTTTTGGTAAAATATTAGTGCAATGATAATTATGATCAAAACTTCCTTTGACACTAACATATTATTTTATTGTGCTATACATGTTTCAGCATTATTTTGTTTTTTTAAATTTAATTCATACTATCATTGAATACTATATTTACTGATTCTGTGCCTCAGAAAAGCATTACCTCCTTTAGTTATAGCTTTCATGGATCCCTAGTTATGGGTTTTTCATTTCACGCTAATCCTGCGGAGTATATCTCATTCATTTATACTCTTTTTTTTTTTTAAAGATTGTATTAGAAAATTTATATCAGTTGAAACTTTCAAAAGAAAAGTTGAAGAGGACTACAACGAGTAATTATACAAAAATTATACAACAACATCAAAGACAACGGTAGTTAGGTACCAATCCATATCTACTCTTATATTGTTTTTCACTTCAAGTTCGTTCATTCGAGAGAGAAATTAGTGAGAATTTTTCGGCCAAATAATGTATCTCGATTTTTGTTATTATGTAGATTCATAATTCGGCTCCGACTTGTAGACAATATTGTTTAATCTAAATTTATTGTTCTATATCGTGCGGGAGCTAGTTTTTTTTTGGAATGCCTACAAAGATACTACTCAATGATAGTGACAAAAATGAAAGAACCTTCACATCTCATCCCCAACAAGCTAAGAGAATGAATTTAAATTTTTTCAAATCAAGCTCACCGATGACAACAAGGCAAACCCCATAAAGTGGGTACACAGTTTTGAATACAATAGAGGATGAAAAAGAGCAACCTCAGACAATATTCATGCCATATACTAGGAAAATTTAAGTTCTTGAAAATTGAATTCACAATTTAAATATTTTCCATCTTGATTTTCAATGGAATCTAGGAAAAGAAGGAAGATACTATTGATGATGATGATGAATATAAAGGTTTTGTTAATAAAGAAGATGTTTTTTATGACTGAGCAATTGTAAGGAAATCCAAAAGGAAATGTGTAGTGATTTCTAACAGCAAAGAGTAAATTGAAGTGTGACTATTAAGTTTTTTAGGAATCGGTTCTTCCATGAGTTATTTTGTTTACTTTTGATAAGGACTTTTGTCATGAATGATAAAGATGTTGCTAAACGTATAATATATGTTGCTTTTTTATATTTTGATAATTAAATAATTTGGATTCCTTTGCGATAAAAATAAATATAACTTTGCAAATTATAATTTATCCGGCCAACGGGCGGCCCCTATTCTAATTGCTAACATAATTGCTAACATGGAGGGGGGGGGGGGGGGGGGGGGGGGACGGATGAGAATGCCTAAAAAAATAAATAAAATTTTAAGGTAATGACTGGTGTATGTCAGACGTATAGTATACAGCAGGTGATCTAACCGTTAGATGTACTTAGATGAGCTCCGACCGATCTCAGCGGTCAATTTTTGTTTTTCATTAAATCAAACTTCGGGTTGGGGTTTAGAAAATTGGTGCCTGGGGTTTATCCAATAGAGGTTAGGGTATAGTATCATACCCCAAACTCGATTTAATTCATGGTCTAGATAGAGATATCTCACTAGTAGTACCTGGCGTATAGTATCCGTGTGACGTACGCCAGTCCGACCCCTTAATTTTAATCATTTAGTTGTTAAATAATTACCTTATGTGTCTTCTACTTATGATATGATTGTTTTTAAGGTATCAGTTTTCTAACGGGTTTTTAACGGCTCGATACTGGTTAGACCACTAAAGTACGAGACACTCATGCTACCGGGTCATGCTCCGGTTCGGTTCTGACACATTGGATAATTGTTCACAAATTAGAAAATATTCAACGGATAAACATGTTCTAAGCTTGATAATAGCAAAGGTTCAATAAGACACTAGGCATAAGGCAAACATTTTGGTCTTGCCTAGCGTCTCATTCGCTGATGTGTTGTGAGCATAAATAGTTTTTTAACCTATAGACGCAAATTAAAATTCCAAATTGATGGAAGGAATTAAGAAAAAAATCGGTGATAGTTTGAGATGGTGTCAATTTGGGGAAGACAACTATCTTTATTTATTCCATTTGTTTACTAGTTATGATTATACATACCTCCAATTGTCTTAGCACACCTCACAACACAATCCTGTGATTGAAATTGAGATGATTTTGTTTTTTGTTTTTAAGGGTTTCATTTTCGGTAAAGCTATATGTTAGAGAATTGATGGTTTGAGGTTAAAAAGTTGGATGGGTCGTAGGTCAACCACAGTACACCCACACCCACCCAATTTTTTGTGGGTCACCTATATTACAACCAACACCCACCCATAAGAACCACCTACATGATAATGGATGGGTCGATTGTGGGTGGATTTTGGTGAATTTATGGGTTCAACCACCCAATGCTCGCCCCGAATATGCGGTAGATGGATTGCCTCTGCCTTTCGGACGGCAGCAATTTGTTTCAAAACTCAATTTTCAAAGATGTTTACTTCTACCAGTTTTGTTCTGGATTATTGGTTGGGTTATATTTACTTTTATTAACTATTTGAAATCATAATTAAACTAATGTTGGATTAGTTGATGGTTTGAGTTTATGAAATCTAATTGTAATCATAAGGCATATGTTTATATCACAAAATCCATTTTAGATTTGACTCAATATCAGTTCTATCTAGTCATGCATTCTATTCTGTCGCCACTCGCCAGTTGCCATCGGACCATATTTTAGTTTTCTGAGCATCTTTTATTCGTTTCTGACAAGGGACTCAGTGTACGCCGTCGTACCACCCGATTCCGAACTAGTAAATGTTGCCGAGAAGTGTGGGATGGATTTCCGAATCGGATATGGAATCACGGCGAATCAATTCCTCTGAACGTGGGCTTCTCCTTCTCCGATTAGAAATCGGCAACAAAACCGATCCTTATAAAATCGAATCCACCCGCTAACACAATCACATTCCCTCGTTTCCATAGTTTTGGCCGGAAAAGATGCAGATCTTCGTCAAGACGCTCGCCGGAAAGACAATCACTCTTGAAGTGGAGAGCAGCGACACAATCAACAGCGTGAAATCCAAAATTCAAGCCAAAGAGCACATTCCCGGCCTTTCCCCTGACCAGCAGCGCCTGATCTTCGCCGGGAAGGAGCTGGGAGACGGGAGGACTCTGGCCGATTACAACATCCAGAAGGAGTCGACGGTTCACCTGGTTCTGAGGCTCAGCGGCGGCGGCGGCCTTATAAGTGGGTTTCCGGGGAGTGCTTAAAATCTTCTAATTGTTATGGAGATTGATAGATGGAGTTTAGAGGAATTTTGTCGGATCTTTTGCTATTAGATAAACATTAGACGCCATGTAATTAATGACTTAGTAAAGAGATATCAGGATTAATCAATTAATTAACTTTCTTTTTTAGTCATAAATCACAATCAAATTAATAGTCTCAAAGGATTGGATTTGATTTGAGCTCGCCATTTGGGGAGAAGGGCAACCTCGTTTCTTCTCTTTTGGCTTGTTGATCAATTAATAAAATACAATTAACTGAAAAAATTATAATAATTAGCACTTCATTTTGGTGAGTTCCTCATAACTATTGCGTAATGACGTTGTTGGATCATTCCTGTTTGTCAGTGAAACTCCGACCAGAAGAAAACAGAGGTCCCAACTCAGAGTAGAACCCTAAAAAGAGAGAGAGAGAGAGAGAGAGAGAGAGAGGGGAGATAATCAAAGACAAAGAGAGGCCACTATCAAAGGGGCGGCAGAGAAGAGATATGGTGGGGAAGAAGAAGCCATTGCTGCTGTCCTGCGATTTCCCCTCTTGACCCGGTCTCGTCTCCAGTCGGAAATTTAAGGATGTTTAATGCCAAGTTGCCAACAGCTGATTCTGGATCTTTAGTATAAGAAATAAGATAGCTCGGAGACGATGTTATCATTTAATCGTATAGTAATCGTGATTTGTAATGTGGCATTGTTGCAGTGTGAATCGGGTTGTTTTTTTTTACCACCATTAAAAATAATTCGTATTAACGAGAGAATTTAAGTTGCATTAGAGATTTAAACTCACATAGCTATCCACAGCCAAAGACAAAAAAATCGAATCCTCTCAAACTAGGATGTAAAGAAAGGGCTTTTTTTTCTGGCCAATAAGATGGGTCATCCTATTGCGATTGCAACCAACTAATTTAATACTAAACTGATGAAAAACATTGGTGTGACTCATGGACAAGTAAGTGCCTCTTGTGAATCAACATCTTGGGTCTCAAGCATACTAGAGATTTTTCCAACTAGAGGAAGACATAATAAAATGATTGGGTATCAATCACGTACGAATGCATATGAATATCCTCAAATGCATGCGAGCTAATGTTCCTGGTCTAATGATGTGCGATGAAGTAGTTATCTAGACATTTACAAGTACTGATCGATAAATTTTGGAAATTCTATCTTCTCTATGAGTATCCTTTTATCTCGGTGAGAAAATGATTATCAGTTCTCCCTTCATAATTTGTATGTTTTTGTTAGTCCATTCGAAGACGCGGTCTACTCATACTAACTGAATCGAGAATGTATTAAGCAATAAAACTAAGGTATTTTGATAATTGTCAAAGTATTTTTTCTTCTTTGCATTTATCTTTAGTTCCTGTCTAATTCATCCAACAAAATCAAGTGTCTTAGTCAAACATATAAATTTCCAGTGGCGCCCTTAATAAAAATATTCAATAAAAAATAACAAAACTATTAGTTAGTATTAAAGAAAAACGAAGCGGCCAATTATATTCCATTGGCTACGTCAGGAAACAAAACAACCATTAAATTAAACTTCCCGCGCCAGCCATTTCGCGCCAATTTTCTTCTTCTTCTCACTCTAATCTCTATTCACCAGAAGAAGCTGGGTCGTGTCAAGTGTCAACACGGAATTTCTCCATTTCGGGCTCAGGATAAAATATCCATTTCGGCCCCAAATTCATAAACTTTTCTATTTTGATTCCTCGACCAAGATGGAACAGTGATTTAAGGCTGCTTCACAATTTCTTCTTACCGTTTTTTGTCATTATGATAACAACTTGGAAACAAAAGCAAACTGCAATTTTCAACAAATAACTTGTAGCACAACGAGAGAAAGCCATGCCTCCCAAGACCAAGATGGAAAGTTGTTGTTCAGGAATGCAAAACCTTCGTTTGATTTTTTTGGTAATGTCTATTTTTTATCTAAATATTTTAAGATTCGTTTATATTATCCAAACTTATTGTTGAAGTCACGTCCCCTTCGAACCTGCTCCTTCGAACTATCGTACGATGCACCTCCCTACAGACGCCCAGATCCTGCACAGATAGACGCCTAAGGGCTTGGGGATGCCCGTTAGCACTCCAACGCTCAAGTCAGTCCTAAGTTTAGAGAGAGAAGTACTTTGGGGACTTTAGTGAGAGAAACCAACCTGCGTAAATGCTACCTACCGAGTACTATTTATACTCGTCGAGGCCCCGACCAGGCTCCTAGAATCCAGCTCCACGTCAGCGCGTCATTAAATGCTTGGTACGGCCCAACGGTCGGGCGCCTCCACGTGGCAGCTCCTGGGCTCCTGGCTCCTGGCGCCTGCAGGGACCACCTGTCCAGGTGGCACGCTGTAAGCACGGTGGTCCCTTTTTGTCGCCATGCGCCTGTGGGCCGTTGGCTGGGCCTTACTCCTTGCTTTCATCCCCATCTCCAAAAGCGGGTTTGGGCCTGAGCCTCTTGGACGGGCCCATGTCCCCCAATGGTCTGCCTATGTATATACCCAACAATTGTCCCCCAGTTAGGCGCTCATGGTATGCCATGAGTGTCTAACTATACGTAACTCCCCTGCCCATAGTGTCTAACCGACTTCACGGTGGTCTGGGCGCCCTCAATAGTTCGACGAGAGCCTGGTTGCTTTAACCGCTTAGATCATATCTAGGCGCTTTCCTGAGCGTTTTCGTGAACAACCCTTGTCCCCCCGTACTATGGCTCCCTCGTCCTTTGTTTTTCATCCGCGTTTGGACGCACCCAAGGAGGCGCCTAAGCCATTAAGTTAGGCGCCCTAGTAGTGTAATGCCCGGTGCGCCCGTACCCGTATGCCCCCCTCTCCGTGCGTTTTGAAATTTGAATTTCAATTTTTTTTTTTTTTTGGAATTCAAAATTCAAACGGACGGTGAGGATGAGATCTGGGGGGTCGGGCGCGCATCCCCGTAGATGTCCGTTGGCCTCCTCCTCATATAAATACCACATTCCGCCTCCTCCCCTCTTCACTCGCACGAATCCCCTCTCTCTCTACCTTGCTCCGACTTTCTCTCTCTAGGCCGAGCTGCCTGTGCGCCTCCCATCCCCGTCTTGCTTCCTCAAAATGTCAAACAAATCCGGCTCGGGCGCCCCCTCAACCATCCCGCCGAAAGATAAGCCCTCGGAACCCGATGTTTTACAGGAGTTGAAGGGGCACTTCTCTCCTGACCCGCTCCGTGAGAAGGGCGCCTGGACTCCGCGCGCCAGATCTCAAGCGTCTAGCAAGAGCGACGCTCCCTCAGACGCTACACCAATCAGCTCTCAGGCCACGTCTACACGTGACACTGCGGACAAAGGCGCCGCGGCGCCTCCCTCGAAGCCCCCTGCAAACCCTGCTAGTGACAAATCGGCGCCCTCGAATTCCCAACCAAGTAAGTAACAAAGCCGGTTTTTTTTTTTTTTAGGGCCGGCGCCTGTAGTCTATAGGGTTTAGAATTGATACCACCTTTGCATCAACCCTTATAGGCGCCTCGCCCGGATCATCACATTCTTCCGGACCGACAATGTCTCCACCGTCTTCGGACTCGGACGCCGAGGGGGGTGATTCCATTAAGCTTAAGAGATGGGTAGATACCTGGCCGTCGGGACAAGCGCCTGACGAAACACACCATCTCCCGCTTCATGAAGGAGGGCCACGTAAAATTTCAACAATAAAATCCTTGGAGTTAGAGAATATCGCCGTGTCAATGCAACTTCCGCGCTCTTGGTCCTATGCGCCTGCCCCCAGTATGGCCCGTATTGGAGTAGTCGGACCTCGATGGCTTGGCATCTACAGGGAGTACTTTCGTTTTGGACTCCGATTCCCCCTCGATTCTATCCTCGAGGGAATTCTGACTACTTGTGGATGTTCACTTGGGCGCCTGCCCCCCTCTGTTTTCCTTATTCATATTTTATTTAAGTTGAAGTGTCGCCAGCATAACGTCGAGCCCACCTTCAACCTATTCCATTATTTCTTCAACATGATGTACTCCGATAATTGCCTATCACTGCAGAGGCGCCTAGGTCTCCCCGGCCATTTTCTAATAGATTGTCCTAAGTTAGGGAGGGAGTGGTTTAGGAGTTACTTTTTCGTGAAGGCGCATAAGGATTCCTTTTATGAAAGTGGCGCCTCCTTCACCAGGGGTTGGGTAATGGGCAGTCATGAGCCCTTTAATGTTGATGTGACCCTTTCCACCTTTGAGGAGATTGAAGGCGCCCGACTCCTTTCTTTATACCCAGTTAACCTTCGCCCCACCAGCTCCTGGGCGCCTGTCTTGGAGGAGTATTACAATGATTGTGTGTGCCTTTTTTTTTTTTTAATCTAACCAACCATTTTTTTTTGTGCAGGCTCCAACTTCACTTCCATGGGTCTACTGATGAAGTCGCGGTTCGCGCAACTTGGGTTGGTGGCCAAGCAGGCGCCTACTTCCAAGAAAGGCGGCAAGAAGTCCGGCAGCGCTGCTAAGCCCACTTCCTCCAAAGGCGCCGGCTCCAAGCAAGTGCGGGATGCCCCAACTGAAAAGGAGAAGGTTGTCCCCGTTACTAGCAAGGGGCAGGGGCGCCCAAGCAGAAGGGTGAAATCCCCGAAGAAAGTTCAGCCCACAAAGATTCCGAGCCCTCAGGCGTCGGAGCCTTTAGGGGATCTGTTATCTACTTGGGATGCGCCTCCTGTTACCGATCCGGCAGATGTGCATGCGCCTATAGTTGACCTGCTCGAGGGAGCCGATGATCCCGTAGACAACGAGCCTTTATCTCTTAGGAAGAAGAGGAAGGCAGAGGGTGCCCAGCAAGGCTCGGGAAAACGGATGCGCCTGTCTGAGGACGCCGAGGTGCCCGAGGGGATGAAGAAATGGCTTCAACCTCCGAAGCACAAAGTGGACATAGCTTGCTCCGATCGGTCGGTGCTGGAACGGGGCGCCGCCATTCACATGGTCCTGTCTGCGGGGGATGTACTCCGGGCGCCCCTAGACCTGGCGGGCGCCGATCCCTGGGGTGAGGTGGCCCGGATAAACGCCCACGTAAGTTGTTTAACTTGTGTTTTCTTCAAAAATTTTGTTTATATTGCCATGACAGGCGCCTGACCATCTTACCCCGCACTTATGCCTATTTTGCAG